CAAAGTGCAAGGTCTGCTCCCGCGGGCAAAGGTGTGGAAAACGGGGCCTCTCATCACAGCACAGGTGCCAGCACTGACGTTTCCTGCCTTAAACACAGAGCTTGTGGCTGGAACGCAAGGGGGTCCTGTCCACGTGCGCGCCTTCGCGGGTGGGGGGAGCAGCTGGCGTTGATCCCGAGCTGCTGCTCTCAGGAGGCTTGTCTGGCTGAGTGTGACTTGCCCTCCCTCCCGTCCTAGTCATAGGACACACAGATCCGCGTTAGTATTGGCGCTGGCACGGGTGCGTTTTGTTGTCTGAATAGATATAAGGCAGGCACTTTTGAGTAAAGGAAAAAAACCCCACACCACTAGATTTCTTTTCTTTAGGTCTAAAATATCCTACTCCATTTTTTAAATCCCTGGCTTATCTTTAAGGTATGTATTTTAATCACAGATTAGATAACCTGTCATGTAATTACAAATTTAAGGCTGTGCTTGGGTTCCATACCTAGAAAGGTAACCCATTTATTGATGCCTGAAGCCAGAGACTAAATTCCATGATTCATGTGATACCTTTTCATCTTATGTAAAGGGATTATTGCATCCTTCACACAAATGAGGAAACTAAGGCAAGTTGAGTAACTTGTATAAAGGAACAAGCCAATAGTAGGACTGGAATTTAAAACAGATTGCAAAATTAAGTGATGCTAAATCTTATCTAATTTTCCAGACTTAAGTAGTAACACTACATATAAAAGGAAACCAGGCTCACCATCTAATGTGCTGTATGAATTTCCAATTAAAGCGATATCCACTTGAAAAGAACACTCCCTCTTCTGTTGACTGGGACTTCATTTTAGCATTGTGGTGGCATCATTTTATGTCTGTTTATAAGCCTTTTAAATATATCTTCCTTACAACTTTAACATGTATGTTCAATAAATACAATTGGGCACAAAGAGCCACTGAGTGGCTATGTCTTTGGAAAAATCTTAAAAGGTGCCTGTATCTTGCAGTCTCGTGAACACTTAACATATGAAACTGTCTAGTGACTCACAATAAAACTAGTAATGTTTAAAACATGCCAAAAAAATTTAACCCCCAACAATTTGACTGGATGAACCAACCTGGTTAATAGTAATTCTTCTTCAGAATTATTTTGATGAGCCTGGTAAACTAAAAAATAAACTCCTGAAAATGGATATTTATAACATGATTTTTTCCCTGAATGATGCCTGCATTGCACTAGAATAACTGAATTAAACAGCAAGCATTACATTGTTGTCAGGTACAAAGATAAATTCTTTATAAGTTTATTAAAGCGCCTTTATTACTAGTTTCTAGTGCCAGACAGCTGAGTATAAATGGAGAGACTTTTTACTAAATGTATTGATCTATTAAATAACTTACTTTTCCAGCAAATTAAATGAAGACGCGAAAACCTATGTCTACCAAAGAAGAAAAACACATTTTGTCTTCACAAAGAACAGTGGGACATTTTTAAAAACCTGGTTTTATTTCTGCTACTTGGTAATTAAGAAACTGATTAGTTTTTAAAAATAAGGCACACGAGAATAAGGTGGGTTAACTGCATATTGCTTTCTTCCTGAGGGCCAATATACATAGAACTTGTATGAAATATACTCAAGTCTCAACCTTTAGGTGAATAATTCTCAGACAAAACACATATATACTCCCATGAGGTCTACAGCAAAAGTTAGAAATTTTGTAGCTAAGACAAGAACTTGGGACGGTATCATCAAAGCCTTCAAATAGTCATCAAATTTACAATATAAACGAGCATATTAAAATTGTGGCCTCCATAGTTTATTAATGAAAATTGCTTATTCATAAAACAACATGCTTAAATGAGTATGAGTCTTGTAATATAAACAATTTCCCCCACACATTCTGTTTCTACTCTAATTCCATTAGTTTACAGGGGAATCGGATTCCTATGTGATGAAGCAAATGAGGAGCGCAGCAAGCTTACCACATCCTGCACTGTCTGTGGAAACGCCTAAGGTTTTTACATGCATACTTAGTCTTTTATTCCTGTTCAGACTTGTTGCGGAGACCTCGGAAACTGGGGACCCCAGGCGTGGCTCGCCCCCATTCTGCAGCCATACTGGTGGCCCTGCACTAGCAAACCCCACACGAGAGGGTTTATTCCCCTGCTTCCACGGGGTGCAAATCGTTCCTATTTGAGCCACAGGCACACATGGCTTTCAGCAAGGAAGCCTCTTCTGTAAGGGGCCAGACAGTTAATATTTTAGGCTTGGTGAGCTACATATCTTCTGTTGCTTTTCCCCTCCACAAGCCTTTAAAAATGTAAAAGACGTTGTTAGCTCCGAGGCTGTGTAAAAGCAGGACCCATAGGCTGAATTTTGGTGAAATAAATTTCTAGGCCCGAGATGAAGGCCGCTCCTGCCTAGGGTGCCACATCAGCAACTCAAACTTGAGTAACTTTTGGGTCCTAGGGATGCCTTGCCCAGAAGTGTACTGGAACTGGCCAGCCAAACCCCAGGCCAACTCGGCTCCATACTGACTTTGTCCCTGATACTTTACCCTTTAAAAGCTTCCCGCCTTCTGCCGCCCGCAAGTGTTAAAGTTTGTTTGGATCACCTGAATTGTCCTCTTTGATCACTTTAAACAGTTTTTGGTGACAAGGATGGAAGCTGACTACTAATGGCCCGTGAGACAGGACAACACACAGGCGAGGGGTGCGCTGAGCCCTGAGTTCACTGTTCCTCTTGTCAAAGCCGAGGGCCGTTGGTAAGTCCCTCTTGGATTTGAGCTCCACTCCCTTGTGTGTAGCTCTCCAATCTAAACACTATTTAAAAATATATATATCGTTCCCAGAAAGGTTCCAGGACAGTTCTATTGGGAGTCTGCAGGAAGTGGTAGCTGTTAGGAAACTCATAAAGCCTAGAGGGAAGTCCACAGAATGAACTACGTTAAGAAATTAGGTTTTGTTGTGCTGTTGGTTAAAGCAAAGTAGGCATAATAAACCAGACAATTAAAAGCCATTAGGGTGTCTGCCACTTAAAGAAATCTTCTTGGGAATGGAAAAATAAATCTATTGCTAATAGGAATCTCAGAAGCCAAAGCTGAAAAATTGGTGGGCACAGGTCAAAAACTTCTAAGAGGTTAGAGCACTCGCCACCTAAATTTAAGCCTTCTGTGCTAGGATAAGTTGGTCATGGAACAGATTAGATTGAAATTAGTTCACCTGCCAATCTCAAGTGAAATTCCATGCAACAAGGTACATGTAAAATACCACGCAAGCTCCAGCCCAGCTTAGATAAAGAAATGGGATCCTCAGGTTGTTTTTTTTGAAATCCTCACCTGAGGATAATTTTTCCACGGCTTCTCAGAGATCAGAAGGGAGAAATACATCAATTGGCTGTCTTCTGCATGTGCCTGCAGCCGGGGTAGGTGTCCTTGGCAGGAATCAAACCTGGGACCCTTCAGTCCACTCAAACAGGCTAGGGTGGTATCCTCAAAGTGTTAAAGAATTGCGTGTTCCACTTTCTGGCATACCCGCTTATTTTATGTCTCAGAACTATATATCTACAAAACTGGCAAAGTCTTATTGCAACAACCTAAAATCATAATGGCCATTATGGCGAATGTTACAGTTAAAGATCATTCACGTAAGAAGTGCACATGAAAGTAAGGGGTTTCCAAATCAACAATCAGAATGGAATGCCTGTTTTAATTGGTATGCAGAACACCCCCCAAAGTATTCAAAATTCCAAAACTGCTTCATTGAAAGATTCATTGCAAAAGGCTAAATGAAAAATTAAAGACACAAGAAGTACCTACACAAAGACTGATGTGACTCCTCCTACCCTCCTCTGCCTGAGTACTCAGTCTGCTATAGTCTATTGGAATCGTCTTTCCACTCTGAAGACCATGAACAGAAGTCCACCAAGTTAGTGGACCTGCCAGCCCCAAAGCCATCATCAAAACACTGCCCCTAAAAATGGCATGTCATTTGTAATCAACTGGGACACTGGAAAAGTGTCCTTGAAGGTTCTGTGAAATCCATCCCATACCAACTTCAACGCTCAAAGGAGGGCCCCCAGATGGGCTCCCCCAAAACTGATGTGAATCCGTTAAACAGCCAAGGGGAAATTGAAACAAAAACCTTGCTAAATTCTGGTTGATATCAGAGCTACAACCTCTACCTTAAACTCTACTCACTACGGAGCCTGCAAATGGGATGCTGGGAAAATGAGCAGAATCTGGTGAGAATTCTTACCAAAGTCAGCTCTCCAGATCTCCACAGTGCCTGGTAGAGAAACAAAACAGGAGATAAAACCTGAATGGATATATTTTTTAAAAGTTGTATGATGTTTATGGGAAAGGAATTTTCTATGTGATCAAGCTGGCTAAGATTGGAATGGATTCAAGTTTTTAAAAAATTAATTTTAATATCAAAAGTACACTGGTGCAAAGTAAAACCAAAAAAGAGAAAACAAATTTTTAAAAAGCACACTGGTACAAAATTAGAATGTTTTTGCTTTGTTAAAAAGGACAGAATTTCCTTATATTATTGGTATGGTCTTAATAAGAAATTGCAAATAGAGATTTTTCTCTAGCTTTTAAGTAATCTGCCTGGAAAGCAAAGGTTTTATCTTACCAAAATTAACTCACTGTGCTTCATGTTGTCTTTATCAGAACTTTTGAGAGCTAAAATGTTTTTTGTAACAACTATTTGACTTTCTGTATTTACTTCAAAGTCACTTTGCTTAAATGGATATTTTTAACAAAATTCCCCCAAATCAAATTGTAAAGTCTTTTTGACCTCGAACTAACTTGAAATGTTTGGACAAATGCCAAAATGATTTATTCTCGCCCCTTATACAGCTGACTCTTGAACAGCACAGGGGGATTAGGGGTTGTTAATCCATTTTTCCCCCTCCAGCATGCAGTTGAAAATCTGTAAATTTTGACTTCCCCCAAGCTTAACTATTAATAGTCTACTATTGACAGAAGCCTTACCGATTAACAGTTGATTAACACATATTTTGTATGTTATATGTATTATATACTATATTCTTAACATTCTTTTCTCTAGCTTACATTATTTTAAAAAACTCATAAGGAAAATACATTTACAGTATTTACTGAAAAAAAATCTGTATAAGTGGACTCACAGTTCAAACCCATGTTCAAGAGTCAACTGTAAAAAGAGAAATGTTAAACCAATGAAGCTTATTTGATATGTTAAATTACGTAGGAAACATGGTCAAATAAGAAGTGATGTTTATTTAACCTGAGGTTATATTTGTATGGGTATATGTTAAATGGCTCCTGCAATGCATAAAATTCCTAAAAACCTGGTATATCCTGGTAAAATGTTATCTTAAAATGTCCTATGTCAAAGAAATAACCTCATTTCCTTGTCAATTCCATTACTGTGATTTACAGTTATTGCTTTACTCTGATCCACTGGCAAAAGTAAGATTTATGGAAAAGACCCTACCAAGTACTCTTGACCACTGCCAAATCTTAGGTGCGTACAGTGGTACCTTGGTTTTTGAATGTGATCTGTTCTGGAAGACTGTTCGAGTTCTGAAACTTTCGAAAACCAAGGGATCAACAGCTGACGACAGCTAGGCCTCAGGATCTTGCCCTCAGCAGAAGCCGCGAGGCAGGTTCGACTTCCGAGGTGTGTTTGAAAACCGAGGTACCACTGTATTTCATAACTGAGAAAGGCTCCACCTGACTTCTGGTACTATGTAACAATAGAGGCCTCAAAATCAAACAATATGAAGAGAAGTAGCCAGCATCGAGGTAGGTTGCTTCTTCCCAAGACTTAGGCTCAAGAACGACTTCTCCACTCCTTCTGACCATCCTCTCCCTAATTTTCACATGATAAAGGTATTAGAATTCTATCAACCTTCTGCCTTCCCCTACCCTAGCAAGATAATGCCACTGTTCACATATCTCAGGTCATTCATTACAGAGGGTAATCCAGCCTCCAACACACACTACTCTGATTTCCAATGCCTCAGTTTCTCTAGAACAAGCTTGCGGAATAAATATTTCTGGAAAAGTAGACAATTACACAAAATACACAAACAGGATAACTGGCTTAGAGAAGTATCCTCTTTGGGATCATTTCTTCACTCGATTCTAGTTGGTTCAGGACATGGGAACCCTGGCTCAAGAACACTTTCCAAGCCATGGGCATTAATAATTACTGCTACCAAATACACTGTGTTCTCTCAGAAGTTTTAAATAATGTGGGCAGCTACTGGCCAGCCAACAGACCATCTCTCTCTAACTGGAACTACACAAGAGAACTGAAGAACATAACCAGTTCCAAGAATACTAGCCTGACACCGTTTCCTCTGAATATTACACTGAGACCTAATGAGGCCACACTAAGGCATTTTAAAAAAATACAAAAACTTCTTGAGTGGTCAAGAGGATGGCCAAAATGGAGTGGGGGCTGTTGAGATAAATTTCTAGGCCCAAGAGAGTCCCTCTTGCCTGGGGTGCCACATCAACAGACCAAAACTTTTGTGTCCCTGGAAATTCTCTGCTTGACCAGAACTGCACTATAACCAGCAAGCCCAGCCCAGAACGGCAAGGCAGCTCTAGGCCTCCAGCTTCCTTCCTCATTGCTTATTTATCCTGTAAAAGCTTCCCATCTTCTGCCCCAGGCTGCAGTTCTCTGGACCCTTGGCAACGTAGACTGTTTAAATAAAGTTTGTTTTTATCACCTGAATTGTCTTATTTAATCATTTTTAAGATTGCAGACCCATGTTAGTGTAGTTATTAGAAAATTTTAAGGCAAAGTATTGGCCATACCTGTAAGGTCAGCTAGACAACCCACCACAAATCACAACTGAGAATCCCAAAGCTGATTCTGGTCAAGATGGAGGTAGTGGTAAATGCTGTGCTGGCCTCTTCCCATGACATCAAAACTACAGTTAAATCATAGAGCCATCTAAAGTCATTGAGAACCACTGAAGGACTAGCTCAACCGAAGTCCTACAACTAAGAATATAAAGCAGCAGCCACGACAAGACTGGTAGGAGAAACAAGGTCACAGAACAGGCAGGTCAGGAACACATGCAGGGGCAATTCAGAGCTGGGAGGGATGCTCCTCTGCCGTAGTTTGAGCCCATCCTCTCAGCTGATTGGCCTGGGGGTAAATCCCTCCCATGGCAACACCAATAGCTACCAAGGCTCAACTAAAACAGAAGGGTGTGAAGAGCCCACACGGGGTGCACCTGGAGTCTCAGCTCGGGTGACTAGGGAGGTTGCACCTGCAGGACACCTACTACATAAGGCCACTCAACTAAGACCAGGAGACGTATCGGCTCTAGCCAATTGAGCCACCCTGCTGGGGTACTCTTAGTATTTTTTTGAGAAAGACTCCCCAGGCAAGAGAAATAAAACGAAAAGACAACCAACTGAATGGAAGAAGGTATTTGCCAATGATACATCTGATAAGGGGTTAATATCTAAAATATGTAAGGAACTTATACCAAAACCCCCAAACAATTAAAAATGGGCAGAGGACCTAAGAGGCCATTTCTCTAAAAATGACAAATAACCAAGAGACATGAAAAAATGCTCAATGTCACTAATCAGAGAAATGCAAATTTAAACCATAGTAAGGTATCACCTCACACCTATCAGGATGGCTATCAATAAATCAAGTGTTGGTGAGGATGTGGAGAAAAGGGACCCTCTTACACTGCTGGTGGGGTTGCAAATTGGTGCAGCCACTGTGGAAAACAGTATGGAGGTTCCTCAAAAAGTTAAAAATAGAACCGTATCACCCAGCAATCCTACTTCTGGGTATTTACCCAAAGAAATCTAAAATACTAATTTAAAAAGATATATGTATCCCTATGTTCATTGCAGCATTATTTATAACAGGATATGTAAGCAATCTAAGTGTCTACTGATAAGATGGTTAGATAAAGAAGATGTGGTACATATATAAAATGGAACACTATTCAGCCATAAAAAGAATGAGATCTTACCATTTGCAACATGATGGACCTAGAGGGTGTTATGCTAAGTGAAATGAGTAATACAGAGAAAAGATAAATACCATATGATTTCACTTGTACGTGGAACCCAAAAAATTAAACTAAATGAACAAACAAAACAAACTCATAGATACAGAGAACAAATTATGGGTACCAGATAGAGTGCTGGTGGGATGAGTCAAAAAGGTAAAGGGATTAAGAAATACAAATTGCCAGTTATAAAAACAGTCACAGGGATGTAAAGTACAGTATAAGGAATACAGTCAATAATATTGTAACAACTATGTATGGTGTCAGGTGGGTACCAGACTTATTGGGAGGGATCACTTCATAAGGTACATAAATGTTTGATCTCTAAGTTGTACACCTGTAACTAACATAATGCTATATGTCAACTGTAACTGAAAATGAGGATAATTTAAAAAATTCCAAAGCTGACAGCAGCAATTTATAATTAAAACCAGTCAACCAATGACAAACCTGGTACTCAAGCACATTCCCAAATTTCAGGAACTCTCAATTGCTGTGGGGGTATCCAGGCTTAAGGAACTTTGTGATGTCCAGCACTGTCTAGCACCCAGGATTCCTAGAAGACACTAAATTAGTGTCCAGCAAACTCTAATAACATAAATTTAATTGAACACTAAATTTGAGAAATCCCTGATATATGCGTGTGTTTTGCTTATATTTCTACCATTAGTCATTAGTAGAAAGTCAACAAATTTCATGTCACTTACCTGGAAGAACGCTTTTAGATTGGTTTCACAGCCTATGAAAAAAATTAAAGACAGTACTTGTTGAAGTACTGGAAACAATAATGACATAACTGGAATCTCTGTACAAGCATATTTTGTTTTATGTAATATAGTAAAGGCTGAATCTGTCTGAAGCAAATAATTTTACATACAGGGGAATTTCTGTAACTCTCTTTAGAGCATAGTTTATAATGGCAAAAATTCCTTCTGTAATATGAATTCCAAAATCTTTAATTTTGGACTTTTTGTATGTTGATCTTTCTTAACATATACCATCATTAGTAAATCCCTAATACAATCAGATTAGAGAACAAGCATCATTGTCAAAGTGTGGCCCCTGGTGGCCCACTGAGCTGCCGCTCCTGTCTGTCTTGCCATCACTCCTCTTTTGTTTTAAGAGCATTTATTTTCTTTGGGGACATGCCACTTCTCAGGGCAATATACTCCCATTCCAAGTGTGAAAGTGTTTAACTTGGTTGATCCATATATTTTATCCCCTCCCCTAAAACAATCAAAACTGGGATTTGGTCATTTGCAATGGAAAAATTCCTGACTGAATTTTCTGGCTCACTTGGGTTAAAGGTATTAGAGAACATGGGCAAAGGATTCACATGCACAAGTATCCTGATACATGGCAGAGGACTTTGTGAACAAAAGAGGGCTACATAGTAGACCCCATAAGCTTAGGGACTACTTGGCAGGCCTAGAAGACCTAGTGACAGACAGTAACCACACAGGATGGCCTGATCATAAATTCCTAGCTGGGAAGGTTATGGCAGGTAGTCATGTCCCAGGCTTACAGCTTCCTTAGCAAAAGCCAATCACTTACCTTAAGTGAACCCTGTCCATTGCTCTTATGCATCTAGGATAACATACCTTTGAAATGTCGGAGTAATTTTCTTTTCCAGACCCCTCGAAAGCCCATTCTGGAGACCATGTAACACTTCACTGTATCCTGTTCCCCACATACCATGTCTATGTGCTGAAAATGTTAATTATTAACCATCCTGTACCAGCAATGTAAAGGAAGCACATATCTCTCCATTTTCTTTTTTATCCAGTCCTAGGCATTTCCACATTTTGCTTTCTCCTCCCTTTTAAATCTACCACCAATAGATTCCATGCAATCTTCTTTACATTTTCTCCTTTGACTCTAAATGTATAAAATAAGCTGCAAAACTGCCATCCTCCAGAGCATTTTCTCAATCTGTTGAGAACATGCCTTAGGGCATGTCCTCAAATCTTGGCTCAAATAAATTCTTATACAGTTTTCTACAAATTTGGACATTCTTTCATCGACAGCTTCAAAATAGCCTTCCTTCTATACCACATTTGAAAATGTGAGAAAGATAAAATTTTGCTAAATGTTTCACTTATAACTTCCAAGAGGATTTTTAGGACTCAAATTAGGGCTTACTTACTCTATTTAAAAATTCATTTAAGCCCAGCCAGCATGGCTCAGAGGTTGAGCATCGATCTATGATCCAGGAGATCGAGGTTTGATTCCTGGTCAGGGCAAATTCCTGGGTGGTGGGCTCAATCCCCACCCCTGGGGATCTTGCAGGAGGCAGCTGATCAATGACTCTCTCTCATCACTGATGTTTCTCTCTCTCTCCCTTCCTCTCTCTGAAATCAATAAAAATATATTTTAGAAAAACAACAAAAAACAACTCATGAAAGAATCAAATAGAAGGCTGTTCCCATCTCCATCAAAGTAAGATCTGTAAATATCCAATAGTGAGTTTTGAAAATAGTTATTTCTGAGAGTAAAAACTTTCTAACCTTTAAGATAAAATTAACAGGCCAATTTTCAAAGTGACTTGTAAAAGCCGCCAATCTCTCTATAACCTCCTCCTCCTCCAACAGGGTTCATATGGATAAACTTTTTTATGTCATCTTTTGTTCTCTTACTGTCAGGAGTTTGGGTTCCTTTTTTGGGGGAGAAAGTGGGAATCAGCATTTGAAGGTTTTTATCACTCCCTTCCTTCCTGTATGTGGTAAAATACATGCGTTAGAATTTTTTAAAAGTTTCCTATTATTTATGGACTAGTAGCTTGTCCCTACATGTATCATTTTCATAGAGGAACGCACAAAGAGTACTGAAGGCAGACTCAAACTGGTTTAAATTCTACTGAATGAAATAAGAGTTTTTCATTAAAAAATCCTTGTTGAGGTAAAATATTCACAGTAAAACTCCATCAAAGCTAATTTTTATTAAAATCAAAGCACCAGTTAGCCTCCTAAAATTAAACAAACAAGGACTATTTCTCAGATGTCCTTCACAATAAACAAACCTTCATGGAGACAGAAATCTGTGATCTGATTGGCTAGCATTATTCTCACTCAGGAACATGAGCCACCAGCATGTGAATTATGACTCAGTCAATTCACACCCAAAATGAAGGGGTGATGTGTTTGTAAAAAGACATCAGCTATTAATTTACATGAGGTTATAAAATACTTCAAAAATATGTACATGATTAAAAGGAGGTGCTCTATTTCAATAAGAAATTAGATAGTTAAACTCATGGTCATGTCCATAATTTTAATAGCTCATCAGATCACTTGATTTCTCTCATTCATAACAAATATAAACAAAATTAGTACATCTTTATTATAACTTAAGAACTTTTCGTTCATATGAAGCAACCTATTTTTGGGATTCACATTATTTGTGGATCAGGGCTCAGCAAAAGGAGAGTTCCCTTCTTTCTTTGCCGTTATAACTAGTCTCTTCACTAAACGCAAATTTAAAAGTTTAAGCACTGCATCATCATAGGACTTTGAAATGCAAATTCATAAATAGGGTAAAAGTCTGTATACTCACCTTTTTGACTCTGGAGTGAAACTTTCTGAAAACATTCCTAAGTTATGTTAAAACTACACTACTATGTTGTAGTAAAATGTGGAGTCTCCTCTTTAGCTTGGAAAACAAAGTTAAAACTACCAAGGGAAGAGGACACTTCCTCTTAGCTGTTCCAAATTTCCTACCTCTCCATTCAGAAAGGGTAAGGCAGGGCCTGTTAATTCAAAGGACAAAACGATTGCATTGCCAGATGCTGATATACAAACACAGCTTGAATTTAATATGGTATGTCTCAACCCATTTATATGTCTGCCATAGCCATATAAGTCACTATGTACTTGGGTTTCCTTATTGCTGGTAAGATCAGATGCGTGGCACCTGAGAAAATTTTTGATGAGTTGGAATTGAGTAGATCCTAGCTCCCATATACTCTACTTGTTCATAAGCTCCGCCAAAGGTGTGATCATGTGATCACATCCAGTATTGGGGGTCTTGCAGCTATGACACTGGGCTCTTGGTTCCAAATCCAGAGGGAAATCTCCTGGAGTTTTGGATCAGAGAAAACACTGGAGTGTTTTAATGTTAGGTCAGGGTTTCTTGAATTGCACTAAACTTTTGGGAGGATGTTCTCTAAATGAGCATGGGGTATATATAGTTAGGATCATCTAGCTGTCTATTAGAGTTTAAGAACTACTTAGCTGGGATCCACCTGAGCATATAGGTGTGCTTGAAAATAGGGTCACAGGACTTGAATCATAAAGACTTTCACTGAAGGCTATTTGGAGAGGAAAAACACTTTCAAATACTGTCTTAAAAGATTAACATGGAACTGAATATTATCAGTGAAAGTTTTGGATATGTTACTTGGACATTCTGGCTTGGATGCCTTTAGAAAATTATATATATTTTCTCTTTAGTGCTACTTCCCTTTTTGATCCTTCTCAAAATGTATCTGTGTTGCCCTGTTTTAACTCAGGAGATAAATATGGAAGAACAAACTGTCAAAAGAACAGTATTCTAAGATACCAACATTAAACTGATTGCTAAAAGTTCAACAGCTGGTGTGCTATAAATGCTGGTGCAAAATAAGACAATTAAATGGTATATGCACTATTATCAAAATTTGTTCAGTCTTTGGAGAATGTCAAATGCATATTCAAAACAATACCACCACCACAATTACCCTGAACTCAAATTTGAAAAAGTGATTAAGACTTTTTAACCATTAATACATAATTTACACTGACAAGGCCTAAATCTATATAGAAAGTGAGACACTATTGCTAGTAAGTTATTTTCTCATATTTTATCTTTAGCAATATCTGAAAACCCAATGAATTAGCCACAGAATGTTTTCAAATTGTCCTTTAAGAAGTAATGCTATGTGGATAAAATCAAGTCCTTTAGGTTTAATTCATGGAAGATTTGTTACCATCCAAAGAGTAACAGTTTTTCAAGTCAGCCATATTTTTATTCTATNGATACCATCCAAAGAGTAACAGTTTTTCAAGTCAGCCATATTTTTATTCTATCAGCCTAAAGAAAAATTTCTTCAGCCGATTAGTGTTTTATAAATAAAGGCTTACCTTGGCAAACTAAAAATAACTCATGTTTAAATATTTTGTCAAAAGTTAGATTAGCAAGCTGCACAGCAATTTTCTCCTATCTTAATCTAGTTTCCCTCTTTGACACTGAATAATAAGGAATACATGAATGTCAGTTAAACTAGCTAGGTCTGGCCCATTAAGAATATGCTTGCCTTCAGAAGATGTCTTTTGTATCTCTATCAGAGGAATATAAATGAAATTCAGAATTGAGATCAAATATTCAATTTGAGGATCTTACTCTTAAAAATAGGAAACAAATGCTTCAGAAAAAATTAAATTTTCACTATAATTCCATCCAACTGCTCCCAAATTCCACAATACATTTTCATTCCAAATTATAAAGACAGATGAAAACGACAAGAACTAGTCCCTTTCAGGGGAACTTCCATTTAATGCTCAATAGAGTATATTTTTAAAAATCCTTACATCAAATACGGCATACAGCTGTATTTCATATTTTGGGTGTTCCAACAAAAGCCATACGGCAAACAATGAGTCTTGTTATAAAAGAATCACCTGCACAGTTAAAACGAACAAAACCACACATGGACACACAGCAAAACCAAATGTGTTCACTTCCTCAGTGGAGGAAGTTCGATTAAGAAATGTATGAAAAATGGCCTTGAAAATCTGCTATATCAAACATCTCTACAGACAAGAACAGAACAAAAATAAAAATCAAATATTTGTTTTCCTGCTTTTTCTTTAATACAGTTGCCATCTTACATGACATACTATTAGGTGCCTTCGTAACAGTATCTAATCTACTTTTTCGTTGCACCAGTAAGCATCCTAGGATAGAACTCTTATTACTATCCATGTTCATTAATTATGGCCCAACTGTTCTTAAGTATGTACTGTTCTTAAGGACATCCCACCTAATTCATGGTTGGGCCATAATTAGTGGGTAGTGGTATTTTCTAAAAATGGATTAATGCACACATACAAATCACAGTAAAATTCCAACTTAGAATTCATACAGCCTATCTCCTCTCTACAGTAGCTACCGCTCCAGATTAGTTCTGAAATCCAGAAAGTGGGGACAATGTCTGTTTTGTTGTTGAGGCTTCTTTTCTTTCTCCTTCCTTCCTCCCTCTTTCCCTTTCTTTTTTTCTTACTTTCTTAATCAGAAGGTTAAAAGAAATGGGTTAAGAAAATCAAAGTCCAGGAAACATCAAAAACTTATAGATCAGAGTGGTGACAAACTCTTCTTTGTAATGATGTTAAATTATTCACAAAATAATTTTTGAAAACAAATCTAATAAAAACCAGCTACCACACGACGATGGTGCTGCTTATTTAAGCAACTGGCGTTCCTCTATGCTTTTGAGGCGTTTCTTCCGGGGCTGTACAAAGTCATCATCTGAGTCATCACTAAATTTATTATCTTCTGACTCATTCCTGAATTCAAGTTTAGGAAACTGTTTTTCTGGATAAAGGTTCTTTAGAAGTTCTTCAAAATAGCTTTCAAGTTTTATACCAGCACTGGCTACTTCTGAATCAGGCTGTTGGGTAAAAATAAAAATATGAATTAAAAAATAGACACCAACATTTAGACAAACAATGAAAGTAGTAAATTTTTCACATTTTTGTTCCCTTTTAAGTTGAGGTTAGGAGTACCAGTGGATTGTTTTGGAAAAATGTTTATACAATGTCACTGACATAAAATAAGTAATAGTCTGAGGCTAAACAAAGTATAGAGAAGGTCCATAAAGGTAAACAAAAGGCTTGGACTCATCTGGATTATTCTATAAGGGTGTGGCAGTGGCAGTGGCAGGACTGGATTACCAAAGAGAAACAAAAAAGATACCATAATCACAGTATATATAACAGGTATTTTTGGAACAAATGAAATGTGGAACTCTGGAATGAGTAACCAATACATAGAAAGAACCATGAACAAAAGACTAAAAGTGTGACAGATATTTAGATAAATTGACAGATGAGAAAAATTTTAAATTAGAGCTACTTAGACCACATCCTTAATATTTCAAGATCAAATGAAAAGATTAAAGTATGGAAGTGCTATATTCCAAGAAATAAAGACGAGAATGACAAATAATGCTTCTAGGTAAGATAAAAATATTTTCTAAACTGTTTTCAGTTATCAGCTCTAATTTGCACTTCCACTCACCACATAATAAAAAACCGTGGAATATAACTGTGGATAAAGTCCTTCTCTGAGAGACTCAAACTTTTGGAAATTTATGCTAGCATAAATAGATACCCTTAATTTCACTTGCTGTTAAGGTGTTTGGTTGAACATCGCTTTCAATATTGCTATCAGTCTTCCCTACACCCCCTACCCTCATCTCACCTCATTGAATTCAGCACAGTTTTGAAAGATCAATCTAAAATCAGCTACAAAATCTTCAGGCTTTGTATACATGAAATAATCTTCTTGTAGTCTTTTCTTGATAGTCGACAAGTCCATTGGATTTTTAATTATTTTGTAATAATCAGGCACCTTTCAAAATAAATGAGATACTATAATGCAAATAACTAAATTCTACCTGTCCCTAAATAAATTCTACAAGTAGTAGCATAAAATTCAGATTGTACTATTTGTCATTGCTAAAGAAACCTATGCAGCAACATCTACAAGTGCTCACAGCCTTCCACACGTTGAAAAATGTTTCGTGCCACTTTTTTCAAAAATTTTCACCAATGAGTTTTAATTAAAAAAAAAAAAAAAATCACATTTGCCTCCTAAACCTTCTCTGTTTTCTTTCTTCATTATTAAACAAAAAGCAATGACTAGAAAAAGTATTACTCCTAGTAGGATATGACATGTTCTTGCTGCACGTGTTACAGCAAATGGTGCTTGAATGGGGTTTGTATCCCAGCTCTGCTACTCAGTAGCATACTCCTGGGTAAGTCACTTACCTCAATGAACCTCATATATCAAATAGGAACAAGCCTACCACCTTCACAGTTTTTTGTAAACACTGAGATGATACATATTAAGAAAAGGGGGCTATTCTGCTGCTGCTGCTGTTGTTATTAATACCAAATGTAACTGTAAGCCAAGATAATGAGAAGCAAGTTCTAGGTTAAATTTTTAAGTGCATAGAGTTTTTACTGGTTACAACCCTCTCTTCTTTCACTTTTTTTGCCCTGCCTCTTTTAGGCACAAAAGGTCCTTCCCCTGAAAGTATTTATTTTCCTTTCCTATCTCAACTTCTCAAGCCCTGTTCTCAAGAGAGAAGTTCATTGTTTGAGATGAATCTATTTACTAAACTAGTTTTCTTTTCTAGTCTTGCATTAAATTTTTAAAATTTATCAAACTGTAAAATATTAAATTTTTAAAGGAATTTTGGACATCAGAGAATAGAAGAACATATTTTGAGTAGTACTTTTAGCACTCTGCATTAAAGTCTTATCAACTTTCAATATGAACCTTTTTGAAGTCAATGGTTAACACGCATGTGCACGTGCACACACACACACCTTCCTCTATTGTTAAAGTCTACTTAATATCTGAAGTCTGGACTTATAAATCAAAACATGTACAGAGAATTTTGGGGGTCTTTATCTCAAATGGAAAGTTTTTCCCCCAACAGTTTAAGAGATATGCCTAAATCTCCTGAGAGAGAGGCAACTAATGGAAATTATTATAGAGAACAGTAGGTAATATACATGAGATGAAATGTAAGAATGTATGAGAAATGAATAAAAGTTCTGGGCTGATTATGTCAACATTAAAATGTACTTAAGATCAAAGCTTTCAGTGTGTATGAATAAGCTTTAAGACTAGATCAGATATATGAAACTAACTACTGAAAAATGGTATAGAAACTAGATTCTCATAAATCAAGTTTCAGAAAAATCATTCTACTGTGTAAAAATGCACAAAATGACATTAATACTTACAGTTAGAGGAACTGGGTCTTGAAAAGCCAGGCTCATTTCATGGCAATAAAGAAATAAAAGTAGGCGTTCACACTTCTAAACAAAAAGTAGAAAATAGAATAAAATGAAGTTGCAGTTTATTTTTTATAACAATGTCAGATGAATACAAGAAAAGTATTGATACTTGGAGTTTTGATCTCCTTCCCAATCATTTACTGAACTGTACTGACAGTTTTTCATATGTGATATGAGAACCGTCCTTGTAATTAGAGGAACAAAAGAAAAGCATTATCAGCAGAAACCCATATGAAGCTCTTTAAAAATAAATTTCCACTTCTCTCTCCAATTTGTGTACTGAATTATTAGCAGTCAATAAAGGAAGAGATCCAACGGTAGAACCCTTCCCTGGTATGTAGTCCTAAGGCACCCTCCCTGAAGGCAGATGGTGCTATCATGGGCTCTGCTACTTCTCTGCTTATGGGTTTACCCCAGTAAACACTGTAGTGCTGGTACTGGGTGTTTGGGCCCCTCTTGCAACTTTCATACTCTTTGTTCCACTTAATAATTGAGCAAAGAAGCTTCTTCAGTAATACAGAAGTGTTGATTTAGTAGGTTTAAATGTTAAATACAGTTAAATATTTTAGCTGGCTTTAAGGTATAAACCTAGAACCACTGGGTGAAAGAATGAAGTTATTTCTAGGAAAAGTAAATAGAAAAACTCATCTCTCAACAAATTCTGAGGAAGAAAACCTATCTGTAGTAGAAATAAAACAAAACAGAAATTTACTAAAGGTAGACAAAATTTAAGAGTCCAGGCCACATAAAGGACACACAGTCTACCTTGTTCAAGTACAGTATTTTAAGCTTCTGGAAAATGTATACATAGTATCTATGATTTTATTTTTTTTAAAGTAAAAAGTCAGTCTTTAAATATATTATTTAAGATTCCTATACTCTTGTGGAAATAAATACTAAGGAAAAAAGAAGTTGATATGAAAAGCACACATGCATTACAATAATGCATCTAAACAAAAGACAAAATAAAACAAAACATAACTATGTAACAGTCTAGGTTGGAAATGCTCAAAAACTTACCCTTTTATCTATTGGTGCTAATTTACCAAGGCCTTCGGTTTTCTTTTTTTCTGAGTTGTGACTGGGAGCATCACAATCATATTCAACTTCTGGTTTAGATAAGTCTCGGCAGAAAGTACAAATCCACTCTCCACTGTTGGGGGATAAAGTATTTGAGTTCCTAATGCATCATTTCTCTCTTCATATCTCTCTCCTACCTCCTCCATGCCATCTATGATACAGAATTATTTATTTGGCATGAATTTTAATCACTGACGATTTACTGTATAACTACTATGCACATGGCACCATGCTGAGAGAACAATGGAAGGGCCTAAGTGGTAAATACTAGTCTAGCCAAGGATGTAAGAAATACATACACAAAACAAACACTTAAATAAACATACTCAATTAGTCTATGGCTAATGTGATGCATAACTGGTATTTTTGTCCCAAATGATTCAAGAAAAAGAAACGCTTTTGGTACTATTCTTGCAACTTTGTTTGAAATTAAATTTTCAATAGCATAGCCTTTTAAAAATTTACTCGATGCTTATCATCATCATCTCAAAGAGACTGTGAGAATTTACTTGAGATATTTATAAATGTCAGTGCTTGCGAATAAGATGCAGTTGTGGCAGTTGTGCATAAGGACCACTGTTCTTTGTGGCAACCCCTTGTAATAATTTAAAGTTTTGGTTTTTTTCCCCTTTTCATAACAGACTAGGTTTTTGAGAGGAGCACAAGGAGTTAGAGGCAGGGTATGGGAAGGAAACCCTATGGTGTAGGTTTTGAAGTATGCATTTGTGCCAAGTGGACTTTCATTTAAGTTTTTACAAAGGCTTTACGTTATAATAACTGTCAAAAGTTTACTGCTGTTATTACTGATAGTGACAGAATGTGGGAAAGGGAAGCAAGTACTGTCTTACCTTGGAAAATTTGCCAATGTGGGTACATGACAAGAAAGATGGAATACTTTAGGACACTTCTCACAGCACAGGAGTTCCCCTCCGTTCTGACAAACTGCACACCAGTCCTCATTGGGGTCATCCTCTTTCCTTGTCTCTCCAACATGAAGGGGCGACTTCTGGGAGGCATCCAGCCACTCAGACTTTCCATTTGAGGAATTTTCCTGGTGAAGTCCAGGTTGATCACCTGTGCTATCAGGGGCATCTGACCTTAGCACAGACTCCTCAGGAGCAGAGCTCTGACTACTATTTAAGAGCAGGGAGGTAAGTATGCTTCTTGGATAGTTGGTCTGCAATGGAAGGAGGTAAGAGTATATGTATTTTTAAAACTGACATTCTTTATTAGCACTACTGCAATTTTAGACCAAAGGCTGCTCTCTCATGGGCACCTGGTAACTTCAAAGGAGTCTGTGAATATGCACGAGAACAGAATGTAATTACTGCTAACTGTATTAGAGTCTCTAATGGTAAAGACATGGACCTCTACTGGAAAACGTCATCAAAACAGAACATCAGCAGTAAGGGGGTGTGGATAATAAAGGAAAATTGTATGAATTTGCTGATGGTTATAGAAATGGGAGAATAGGTGGGTAGTGCAGAAGTCAACCATATGAATTGTAAGTACATTTTATTAGACCTGGTAATTCAAATTATACCTAGACACAAAACACACCTACTGTAGATTGTTTTTTTTATCATTCATAGAGCTATTAATAATTTTAAGATAAATCAAAATTTTATGTTGGAGCCTAGGATGGTGGAAATTTTAAATCATCAAGTCATTCTCACCATCTCTAACAGTGTTACATTTCTCAATGCTATCAAAACATTTTCTGCCCTAACATGCATTCCTATGGAGTCCTCTGTCCTGCTACAGAGTATACTGGAGGAGCTGCTGTAGGGGGGACCATCCCTTTCTTTGCCCCTCGTCTTTGCCCTATTTCTGGGCTCTTATGTCTTCCTCTTTCCTAGCTTACTCCATTTTTGATGAATCATATTTCGAAATATCTTCCTGAGAATGAGTACATGGAAATTAATTTTTTGCGATCTTGCATGCTTGTCTAAACATGTTTATTTGATCTTCATGCACGATTGATAATTTTTTCACTTAACATTCTGGTACTTGTTGGGCCCTTTCAGTTCAGATGTTCATGCCTTTCAATTACATAAAGTTTCCTTATATTATTTCTTTGGCAATTACCTTCCATGTGTTTTACTCTCTTCTTTCAGATGCCCAACCTTCTCACTTGAGCCTATGATTTTTCAAACTCTTCTCTCCCTGTTTTCCATCCACTTTTTGTTTCAATTTACTGAGAGATTTCCTCAAAATTTTCAACCTTTAAAAGTTGACTATTTCCCAGGGAAGCTTTAAAAAAAAAATTTTTTTTTTTTTTACCTCTATGAGCCATGTAAAAGTTTTTCTCACCCTATCCCCTGAATAGGAATAGTGCTGCAATCATTGATATAATTACATTTTGAGGCCTAGATTCTTCATCTGATTCTTGTTTCACTATAACAACAGGAAAATCATAATTTTCAGGTGGTCCACTGTTTTCTTGTTTTATTCGGATTGGCTCCAACATGACCACTGGGACTTTGTGTGTAGAATCAGCTCCTGCTGGTTTACTGGAAGAGCCAGAGCTATAAGTATGAGAAAGAAAAAAAACACCAAAAACATCTAAGAATGCTACCTTGAGTATCTCAAATTAAGTATAACAGCTTTCAGAATAATGCCATATCTTCACAGCAATGGTAACTATGTTATACCAGTAATAAATGATACACAACTTAAATGCAACTGCTATGTACAAAAGTTTCACTTATGTATAAAAATGTTCTCTATATCAACCTATCTAAATAGTTATGTTTCATCTGAAAAGATATTTAAATAAATTTAAGTAATACCTGAATTAAAAGAAAATTGACTTCAATATTCTGAGGCTCTAAAACTGGGCAGCCAGATTTAGTATCTTAGAACTAGCATCTCTTTTTTTTTTGGCTTTCCCATTTTCTTCTCTAGTCAGTGAAAAAGAGAACTCTAGGCTCACATTAATGATTTATCGTTACAGAGTGTGAAGACAGCTAGGGACATAAGTTATTGATTTTGTCCATAACATTGTTCTGCTATTTAAACAACGTAGTGGGACAAAAAACTTTTACAGATAGCCACTATGTTCTCATGGGATTGCACCCGAACTTTCTCCCTTCAGAGAATGTTTCATCCACAGATGAGGAAGTAAGAATTGGGTTCACTATCCAGGAGAAATTTGCAAGCATAATGAATAGATAAGCAAAGTGGGAAGTTAAAATAGAATTTCAACAAATGTAAATTCATTTTAAAGCAACATTAACGTTTGGTCATTAGAAAATTCATAAAATTATTGTTTCTTTTCCCTAAGTTTGTATTTGTGTGTGTTCCCATATAGGACAGTGTGATACCCTACATTTTTGGTTTATTCTTGCTATTATGATAAAATCAAACATTTTATTCTCAACATATACACACAAGATATTTGTAGCTTTAAAGTTAAAATTATAATTTACTTAACCCATTAATTTATTAAATTAACATAATATATCATACTTATTAACTTGAAAGTCAAAAATAAAGACAGTTGCTCAAAATGTATTGAGCACTGGGGCAAAAGAAAGAGAAGGTTAAAGCAGCTTACCTTCCTCGACTCCCGACGCTGGAGGCACTAGGTGAACGCATTGGCGGGTGTGCACTAGTCATAGTGACAGGTCCTGAAGAGGAGGGAATCACGCACATTCATCAAATGAATTAATAATTATGTGTTCAATTCCTATTGAATGTGCTCTCTCTGTGCTAATTTAAAGTATATAAACTGGTAAGTAGTTGCTGAACTCCTAGCACAGTCTAAGTCCCCTCAGACAAGTAGGGCTGTTCAAACTCAACACGATGGACATTTTGGGCCAGATAATTCTTTGTTGTAGGGGGCTGTTTCTGCATGGTAGGTGTTTAGCAGCATCCATGGCCCCTACCAGTTAGTAGATATTAGTAACATCTCTCCACACTTCCCACCCAGGGGTGTAACAATCAAAAATGTCTCCAAATGTTGTCGAATGTCCCTGTGTGAGAATAACTAGGATAGGATCTCAGGGAGGACAAGAGCGTCAGTGAAAAGTGTTAGGGGCTAATATAAAAGCAGGCTAAGAAAGCAAGCTACTAGAGACGAATTAATGAGGACACTGAAATAAATATTCTACTAGGCAATGCATGTAAGGTATTTTGGCCAGTGCCTGACGAAGAATACTGGATAAAGGTTAGCCTTAGCGATATTGCCAAAATGGTTTCCAGAAATGTTTGGCCAAGTTATACTCCCATCAGCTACGTACCAGAATACTTTGCTCATCACGTTCTATTTAGTATTTTCACTATTTAAATCTCTGCTCATTCAATACTTAGAAATTATATCTGGTGTTTTTTTTCTTTTAATGATTATTAGTGCAACTGAACATTTACTGGCTATGAGTATTTCCTCTTTAGGAACTACCTACTTATGTCCTCAGTACTTTCCTTATTTATTTGAATAAACATGTTATAAAATTAAAGACACTGCCATGTTATAAAATTAAAGATAGTGCCAGACCCTTTTAAATTATCCAACAAGAGTCTGTGTGTTTTTTAATTACAAGTTGAGAAAAAAAATGGAAACACACTCACAAAATCAAAAGAAGCCCATTTTACCTGCAAGGCCTGGAGATGGCACTGATGAATTTGGTGACTGGACGGTTCTGTTTGAGGGTGGTCTTGGCTGGCCATGATCTATACTAGTATCTTTCCTCACAATATTGTCCAGCATAATAGTACTTGAACAGTCAATCTTACAAGAAAAGAAATTATTACATGGTATCCAGACTTTGCAAGTTAAAAGCTACTTTATAAGAAAACTTTAATAGTTTAATTACTATAAAATATGCAAATATCATATTTGAGAAGTTCTGATGCATATTTTCCCCATAAGCAATCTTTTAAAAGCTTTCACTCTTCTTAATGTTTCATGTTAGTAAATATACTGAGGACACGATATTTCAGAAATCCAAGAGAAAGGAGCATTGTGTGTCATCCACACCCTTAAAAATTGAAGCAAAAACATTTTTTAATACTTTATTTAAAAATAACAAAAGGTAGCCAATTTTAAAAAAACACAAAACACACCTTGGTGAGAAGAGTAGCCCAATTTCATATTTTTGCAAATTTCTCTTTAGCACCCTGCTTAATAACAGCCAACTAGATTCTTATACCTGCTTCTGCACTAACCTCTTTTGATGTTTGGTTTTGGTTGAAGATTATGAAGAAAATCTGCACTTACACATAGGCTTATGGAGCCTCTGAAAGGGCGGTAGACACACCTATGTCCTTGGACCACACTTTGAAAACTGAGGCTTTGGTAAGCACCAGATACATGAAGCAAGCCCATACTTAACACATTTCCAGAATGCTAACATCACCTGAGTACATTACTACCGTTTGGTAGGAAAAATTGGTCCTTCATAGATTCTTGCTTTAATGAAATACGTATACAAATAACACTTGTTTTGTAATTGATTGTTAGGTTAAAATAGTGGTAAGTTTCTACTGAATAAGGCTTTATGCTTTAGATGAAATATTTTTTATGCTTATATACACCATTTATTTCCCAAGAATGTCTGTGATTAAAATCCAGTTCAGTTCTCTAACACAGTTGCAGCCTTTCTCAACCAGGATTCTACAAAAGATTCAAGTCCTCCAGTCTTAGGACACAGACTGTATGTAACAAATTTACTTCTTGCCTCTGCATCTAGAATGGTGCTAGTTATGAACCATCCTTGGGAGGATTGAGAAAATAGCCACTCAAATCAGTTTCTTATTCTGTGGTTCAGAAGAGGAATCTGAGTTGAGAAAGGCTGGTGAACAAGTCACCTGTGTCTGAGGACTGCAGAGAAAAGAGCAGGAGGACAAGGTTAATTTCCGTGGGTCATCTTTCAGTTGGGGGAGCAGGGAAGTACACAGGGTCATTTATGTTTAATATTCTTTTGGCAATACCTTGGCCAGTACTTTTCACAGAGTGCAAAGAGTACTGAAATGATTGGATTTGATAGATCTTAATGTAAGAAAAGTTAATTACAACTGTGGAGTAATCCTAAAAGCTAAAATAAAATTGTAAGAATGAGACAAAAAGTTTTCCTATGTATTACCTATGCGTGAAAAATACATACACGTACTCTACCCATTTAAAGTATATACAATTATTTAAAAAATGAAATAACTCTAGTAAGGTTAATGCTGCCACTGTTAGGAAATCTTAGTTGATCTCAGTAACAAAAAACTAAGTAATAAAAAATTTAAAAAAATTTTCACAATCTTACAAGATATTTCTTAAAAGATTTTAATGTTTGTGTGCATGACTGCCTAACCTTGTAGGATAACAAAAGGCAAAACAAGTATCAGCTTATGTATGGAGATCTGTCTGTAGAATGTTGAATTTTCTGCCTTTGGAAAGATTTTTAAAAAAAGTCATACTAACAAAGTTAGAGTTTATAGAGTAAATATATTTAATTTAAATATAAGTCAGAGATAATAGATGTTCACTTCTAATATTAAACTTGCCTCCTCTCTAATCTTATTCTCATAGCACATCCCAGCAGTTAGACTCTCCAGTACTTCCTTCCCATGTCCTTACTTCCCGGCTTTCCCAGCTCAGATTCCATAATCATTCATTTACAAACACCTTAAACTCCAGTGCCCTGAAAGACATTCTATAGTATGGGCAAGTGTTTATTATAATCTTTTTATTTTTCCTGCTGTTATGATATTTCTAAAGGATATAAATAACTTCTAAAACAAACCCATGCCTTTTACCAAATCCAAGTTCATGTAACATTTTTGAAATAGATTCTTATTATAAATTCTGTGTATACTTACATCTGGAAGAGAAGGAAGATTATAAGACCCTCCTACTGGTGAGCTCAAATCAATCATAGGTGAGCCAAAAGCCTTTCCATCATATCCTGCTGCACTAGTAATGGTGGGACTGGAAGGAGTAGAGGATGTGCTATTGGCAGTTGATGGGGGAGCCTGCCCACTGCTGATCTGCCACTACACGGGAAAGAAGAAGAAAGGCTGTCTATCAGGAGGTCTATAACATAAAATGTCCGCCTATTCCCTGTTCCAGATACAAAACAAAGTAGAAGACACATTCTGCTATTTGAATTCAATTATAATTTCAGTGGAAAGGGGAGAGGACACAGGTATACATAATTTTCATTAATCCTGTCCAAAAATAAAACGCTGATTTTTACCAGAAGACAGCAGTTAGTATACACCAGAAAACCACAGTACCAGTCTTGGAAAGCTTATATATACTGGAAACGAAATATAAACAAATGTGCGGCAACCCCAAAATAAAGATAGAAGGCTGAAAACATACATTTTCTTCTGTCCCTAACTGATATATCTGAAACTAAAATAATGGCTAAAAGGAATCTTAAAAAGGCATGGACTCATAAAGACAAAATAGGAGAAGACAGAAACCACATTTTGGAAGCTGGAAAGCAGAGGATCAAATAGCAAATTACTTAATCAGGTTGATGAAGCTGAAACCTCAGCTGGCAGTGGGGAAAACAGAGAAGCAAATCAACATACACTGCAGAACCTCTAAGACAGGGATGGGGAAACATACGGCTCGAGGGCCGTATACGGTCCTCAAAATCATTTGGTCTGGCCCTGCCAAGGCAACCGAAGGCAGGACTTGAAATCTAGGAGCTTTTGTCATGGCTAATTTTTAAGTTGATAATTTTGTATGGCCCACGAATGATGTTATAAATATCCAAATGGCCCCTGGCAGAAAAAAGGTTCCCCATACCTGCCCTATGAGCTTAGGAATTAGAAGCATAAGAGGTGAAGCCAGGGCTGAAAAACAGGATGAACTGTTGAGAGTATGTTTAAGTGCTAAATCTCATGTTCCTTTCCTATTCTACCTGTAGCGACCCCAAGGTAATAAGGGCTTCCTCTGCCTACACAAAAAAAGCTGGAAGTTTATTCTCCAGAACAGGTAAAACAGTGTCTTTAGATTAAAGGGCACCAGACTCAGTTGAAGGCAGAAGTATTGCATGGAAAATGAAGATTCAGAAACCATACACACACTGAATGTTGCACTTCCCGCCCGCTCTGCCAATGGCTCCCTACCTATCTTCTTCCCCTAGCTGGCTTCAAATAGCAGCCAGGCCCTGCATTTTAGGAGAAGACAGAAAGATCCTTTGGGAATTGGACCAGCTTAAGAGGTAAGACTTAAAGGTGGTGACATTAGGAATTCTCCCAATAAACATTGCCAGTAGCCTTAATACTAGAGTGAAACCTCAATCATCAAACACTAGCCCCAGACCCAAGCTTTCAGACTTTTCTTTACTCATTTCTCATATATGAAACAGGTAATTAAGCATCTACAAACATCTGAGGAAACTTTTGTCATTTATGTTAGAAGCTGAGATAAATATATTAACTAAGCCAACACTAGGACTGCATAAGTGTACAGAGATGCATCATGCTACTGTCTACAATCTACACAGGAACCTATCAAAAGAATAAGAAGGCTTGCCCTGGCCAGTGTGGCTCAGTTGGCTGAGTGTCATCCTGTGCACTGAAAAGTCACGGGCTCAATTTCCAGTTGGGGTGCGAGGCAACTGATCAATGTTTCTTCCTCCTCCCTCCCTTCCTCTCTCTCTATAAATTAATAAAAACATTAAAAAAAAAAAAAAAAAAAG